ACTTTTTAAAAGGCCGGCAACGCATCTGCAATTCTCCTGGTGTTGTAGAATTCTATTAAAATCTTGTTGACTGGTTGTACTGGCTGACATAGACGTTTCACGTTACAATCAACGGCCGTGTGCCTCGACACAGGCCCACCCGATTTTTTATTGATATGGATACAATATGCTTTATTGTTTCACCTTCTTAAATATTGTAGATGATTAAATCTGCATCCTGAATAATATTTTTTATCGATGGCAACAATCGATAAACGTTGTCAATTACTAACTCATTTGGTGACGTTACTGGATAACAGAGGGCGCTTATTATAATAAATGTTCTAGAACAATCTACCACAAATAATAAAATTTAAAAATTATGGGGTAAATATACATTGTACTTGCGATAATAAACCGAAATCACATTCCGTTTTTGCTACATATCTGGACTTACAATGCCTTAATGCATAATCGGGCATATTTTCTTTAAAAAAATATTTTCATTAAATTAGGAAACGAATGCGTCTTGACCTTTTGACGATGTCACTAAGACTAAATGACACAAATCTGAAATATATCCTATAGAACTTAAGTAAGAGGCAAAGACATTTAAGTAGTAGGAATAGACCGGACATCAGCAACAAAATTGTCACCTCTTGGGACCTTCAATTCCTAAGTCGTATCGGTCCATAAAATCGCCGATGGTAAACGATTCCTAAGAAAACTCCTAATAATCGCACGGTAGTGGACCGCGAAGCATCTATTTATTTATTTTTTATTCACATAGGCTCATATATAAGCTCTTATGAATAGTCAAGCGAAAGAACAAATATAAGAGAAACACAAAAAAAATTACAATTTAACAAATCAACTAGTTTTAACAGATAACAGTTTCTGTAATGTAAACATTATATATATATATAATTTATAGACATAAAAACGCTAATAATTGTATATAATACAAAATAACGCTAATTTGTTTAAGTTATTCTGTCGAGATTATTCTGTATGGAACTTGATTGGCTTTGAAATGACCATGGGCTTATGTCATTAATCTAATTGTCAATTGTATAATATCCTTTTCTAATCGAAGTGTTTACATACATACATATTATCATATTACATACTTTTTAAATTTTTGTAAAGGCAAGTCAAGCATTGAATCAAGTATTTTGTTGAAAAATCGAATGCCTTGTGCCATAAATGAATTGTAAGTTTTCCTTAGTCTAAACACCGGTATAACAAGTTTATTGTTATTTCTAGTATTAAGGTCATGTGTGTCACTATGTTTATTATATGTATGTATATTTTTCCTAACAAATAGTATATTAGAGTACATTTATTGAGAAGCAACAGGTAATATGCCGAATTCTTTAAATCGTTCCTTTAGAGATACTTGTTTACCAAAGTTATAAATGGAACGAACCACTCTCTTTTGCAAAACAAATATCATATTGATATCCGCTGCCATACCCCATAGTAATACACCATAGGATATAACACTATGGAAACAACTGAAATACACTAAGCGAGCAGTTTACACATCAGTTAACAGTCTAATCCTACGTGCTGCAAATGCAACAGAACTTGGTTCTTTTTTTCAAGAGATATATGAGCGTTCCACTGAAGCTTAGCATCCAATGTAATTCCTAAAAATACTGTTGAGTTAACCATGTTCAACGGTTTATCACCAATATTTATATTCATGGTTACATTTTTTACGTTAGTGTAAATTCAATGAATCTAGTCTTTTTCGCATTCAATTGAAGATTATTAACCGTAAACCACCGCTGTATTTGCGAATGAGCAACATATACATCGTGAAAGGTAGTTTTGTTTCTATCTATATCGAATATAAGAGAAGTATCATCTGCAAGTAACACTATTTTGCAAAATTTGGATATAAAAAAATGCCAAATCGTTGATATATGTCAAAAATAGAAAAGGACTAAGAATAGAACCTTGAGGTACACCCATTTGAACAAATGATCCGACTGATTTTACTCCATTTATTTCAACCCTTTGCAAGCGACCCGTTAAATATTATCTAATAAATTCAAGAGATGTATCCAGATGGTATGGATGGTATCGTGAGTTTTGTCACGATGTGCGTTCGTGAAATTTGGCGGCTGGAATTAATTCGATCAACTCCTCAAAGCACTCCGTGGTAGATGCAATTAAAAAATGCAAAGGAATGCAACATCCCTTCGCAGCGTTAGTGAATTGAGCCGATCAGAAAGAACTCGGTCATCGGCGATTCGAGCCGCTCTGCGCTAAATGCGGTCAAGTGGAAGGAGCCAGCACTGGTGTGCCCCGGCCCAGAGATGAGAACACTATTCTATGTGAGCCGAACTTGCGCTTTGTAAAGTTGCAAGCGGTGTGGCGGCATGAAATATTAACCCGCTCTGCTGAGTATACTAAGCTTTTTAGAGGTCAATTTAGTCTTCCCTTCCAAGTGACCACGAAACTGCACGTCAGTCGATATGTCGATGCCGAAGATTCAGCTACTGGCTGCGGCCACAAAGGAAGTGCTCTGAAATTGAGGAGATACGACAAAGGTGTTCTTTTTTGCCGTAAACGCGCAAACTTGTGAATTTGTATAATAATTTATCGTATAACGACTTTTAAATTCAGTGCTTTCCTAAAATATGTTAGATTTAAAATGTAGTTTTGTAAAAGAAACGAATTTTAAAGCACAAAAGCGCACTCTTATTGGATTTGACGTTTCGCGATGTGACTTCGACGCCGACCGACGCCGAATCATATGCTATTGTTATAGCGTCTTATGAACCCAGTGATATCATCCAAGGTGCCACCAATGTGACTGCTGTTTTCTAGTTGATTCTTAGTTATTGGAAATAAAATATTTTACTTCATGACATTTCATTTCATTCATGATGTAAAAAGTTTGTATGTTTTTTTTGGTGTGATGGAAGTCATAATAAATGGATGTATACAATAAAAAAGCATGCATATTCTCTATTATTATAAAGTTAAACATTACAAACTTCAACAAAATTATTAATACGAGTACTATGATGTCGAAACGGAAACATTCCTAAAACTGGTTTTTACTTTTTACTTATTTACTTTTTATTAGCGTCGATAAACTTTCGTCTAGTACGTCCCTGCCCGACTCTGCTGTTCACTTCTGCAACATAGATTTTCTTTTTGTCACACACACGGTGATTTGGTTATGTAGAAAGAATGAACGAGATAAGTAAAGATAACCAAATCACCGAAGCATTCCTTTCTTCATCACAACATCATCTTGCAAAGTGCAAACCACACTTTTCTCTTATCACTTGATATCCCATCCTGTCCTCAGATTCAGCCCTAACTGACCGATAAACGAGCGACAAAGACAAAAGAACAGACTGGGCTCCTTGCCGTATGGTAGCGGCGAAAATTTACCACCAACTAGTTCGCACCATGAGGCATGAAATAAAAGAAATGGCCCCGAGTTTCCTGCGCCCCTTTAATAGGGCAGGGTTACGAAGAATCTCGGAAGTAAAATCGGTGACGATTTTCGCCACTCGTCCCGTTTTGTCTTTTGGGAGGGGCGAAAAGTGAATTAAAACGTTCTACTTATGTTTTAATGCCTTGAAATATTTCTTCGCATACAAAACAGTTTGAGCATAGATTAGATTTTATGTTTGAGTTCGATAACTTAACTTATATTATATATAACTTATTACATGTAGATAATATTATTTATTAATTTATAATATTTTTTTATTTTTACCCTAGCACATATTTTCATTGACATTTATATTTTAAAACAAAATTAAAAATTAGTCTAGAATAGTGTGATGTCTGAGAAATAAATAAAGTACTATTATTTTTGACATATTCTCCTTTCCTTTTCTTTCGTAAATGTCCACTGTTGGACAAGGCCTATCCCGTGGCAGGGAGGATTTAACTTACTGGTCACGCATGGCAGAATAGACGAGCACATCACCTTTCGCGCTGCTGTCCGTCGCCAGTATTATATATTAGTCTATGGCTGCCCGTCACCAGACTGGGCATCAGGCATCTTACACCCGGCGTAAACGATATGGTTATTGAGCCATCTATCGGAATGCCATGAGATCTTCTTGACATATCCCATAAAAAATTAAATAAATAGATTGTAAAAATTATAATTTAAATCATAACCAGTGGCTGTGATTCGTAGTACTATTAAAATTGCTTAAGCTCTCTTCTCTACTAAATAATTTGATTATGAATTAACATACAATTGAATCATAGACTTAGACTGTTCTAGCGTACAATTGAATATTAAAAAAAACTATATATACCTACACACAGTAGGTACCTAATATTATAAACGCAAAACAAATCAGTCTGTATAATTGTCTGCTACCTTTTTACATCTGGTGAACAGATAGAATAGACCTTTTGCCGCGGGAAAATACCATAATCTCACAGCAACATTTAATTTAATATGGGCGAAACCGCGGGGCTTATAGCTTATAAAATATAAAAAACCAGCCTAGTGCGAGTAGTTCTGTACCATCGTAGAAGATTTAATACTATGTATGCAAAAAAAACCCTTTTCTAGTAGGGGAGCCCCTTTAATTTTTAATTCACTTTATTATTTGTTGTTATAGCGGCAACAGAAATATACATTCTGTGAAAATTTCAGCTGTCTACATATTACGGATCTTGAGGTAGCTACAGCCCGCTGACAGACAGACGAACGGACAGCGGACGCCTAGTAATAGGGTCCCGTTGGTGACCCTTCGGGTACGGAACCCTAAAAATGTGGTAAGTACGGTAAACCGGGGGGCACAAATTCATAGTCAGCCTATGGCTGTCATTACTCTAAATCAGGCGCTGACTGCTGTATCTACATGGGCTTCCCTCATAGTAAGGAAGGCGAACGACGACGCTACCCTCTTTTAACGGTACTTCTGTCAATGGTATGCATATTTTACGTCGGGCGCAAGCGGTCCCTATATGGCTTTTTTTCAAATCACATTGGATCTTAATAATTTATTCATTATGGATCTTACCGCAAAACAGCGGCGCTTTTCCAACGGTGGCCAAAATAAATGTCATATAGTGTACGTAGGCAATCCCATAGTGCCATATGTTGATCTTGCCAGAGCTCGCGAACACTTGGAGAAGATGAGACTCGTAGCATCGCCTCGAGCAATGGAATGTAAAAAGGCTCATTGCTATGAACGCCGCTGTTGCCGACACTGAGAAACATTGTCTTGATATGAATGTAGAACCAATCATTAAAAGACTTACTTGTTTTACGTGGTTTATATTATGAATGTAGCACGAATGGATCGGTTCGGCCGGGGCAGGACCACGCTCTCACAGAATACCAGGTTAAAATAGCAGCTAAATGCTGCTGTGTTTCGTATGGCGAGTGTTGAAAACTAGAAAACGTTCTTTCTTACTGGAAACGAGGATCGAATTCTATCTGCGTTTTGATTATCAATCAAGGATATATGTAGGTGTGGTCCATTCCCGGTCGAAAGCGTTTGTCGAAAACTCCGATCAGCCGACCCATTCGTGCCACAACCCTAATATAGCTGCAGCTTGGCTCTGCCACGTAATAAAATGTGTAATAAAGTGACGATGGAGATCCTTAAAAAAGTTAAAGTTACAGCCTATATACGTCCCACTGCTGGGCACACACCTACTCTCATTTCTGAGAGGTTTTAGGGCAAGGAAGTGTCCGCTGCGCTGCCCCAATGCGTGTTGGCGAACTTCACATGTCTTCGAAATATTTTTTTTTCTTATCTTAAGACATGCAGGTTTCTTCACGATGTTTTCCTTCACCGCCGAGCACCACAATTAACAAATTCCATTAGTGCTGCTGGGGATCGAAACCGGGTTCCTCGCGTACTGTGAAACTTACAACGAGCACTAATCATCTGAGCTACCATGGATCATCATGGATACTCTATTTATAATCAAATATAAAACTCGCAATACTAATATATCAGATGAATTATTCATTCCCTACATACCTGCAGGTTCTTCTTCTTCAAAGATAGCCTTCAATAATGCATGCACGTATGTATTTATTTCCAAATTATGAAAATACACCAGGAACATATATATCAAAGTCAGGTTACTGAACAGGGCAGAAAACACGTAAAAATGTTTGAAATAAGATTTAGGCAATTCGATAGTTTGCAAAATTTTACCGTTGGAGCCCTTGTAACCAAAACTTCCATATCTATAAAATTTTATTAATAAAACAGGGAAGTGTTTTTCATATTTCGTAATTAAGCTACTGAGGAAAACTATTGAAACAGATAAACTTAGAAATATAATGTCGGGTATGTTAAACTTAAACATTATGCCGGTGTATTTCGCCAAACAACAGGTCTTGCCACTTAAAAACTGCGCAGTTGAGTGTGGAGGTGTGGAGTGTTTAGCGAAGTACGTAATATAAATCCAGAATTAGAACAACTTCATCACGATTATCCGTTGTGATTATTAATAGACAAGCAAATACATTATAAAAAAACCATATATTTTATTGGGTCCGCTGCTGGGTTTTTTCCTGTCTCCGCTCGTAATTATTTTATTTAAACTTTACTAAACATCTTGTATCATCGTCTATCAGTCAACTCTCGGAAAGTTTAAAGAGATAAAAATATTTGGAAAATACTCTTATATTATATGACAGGATTGGCGCAATATCTATGCCTAGCATGTAATAGGAAGTTGTCAGCACGGTAGGTAGGTACTACCGTATCATACCTACTACTCGTAAAAATCGAAATAATTAGAGTTTTTGACGTGGGACAGTCACACTGTAACATTGCAGCAGGGATTGAAAACGGTACCAAAATACCGGTATAGTACCGGTACTTAAGGGTTTCGGTACCTATACCGGAACAGGAACCAGAACGTAAATTAGAACCTTTAAGAACCTTTATTTTACCGGTTCCTAAGTAAAGCGAAAGCGAGTCCAAACTTGTTTGAAGTGCGGTCGGGTGGCGGGTGGACGGCGCGATGCGGCGCGCGGCGAAGTGTGAGAAGAGGGGAGTTTGTAAAATATCACATTTGTATTGGTGGATCTTATGTTGCATATCAATGCAGTGTTGCCAACTCTACGGATTTTCTATAGATATACGGAAATTTGTCATCATCTACGGAACTACGGAATTTGACGTTGCAATCTACGGAATTTTTATAAACTTAACAAGATTTTTTTTATCATGAGTGTGAACTTGCCGGCAATGTCATTCTCTCTCTCTTCTTCTAATGCTTTCTGTATTAAATTATATTTAATAATTAATTCTATGCTATCTGTATTAAAATAAAACCATTCTTAGTCATAAATATCAAACTTTTGTGACTTTAATCGATTTCAAATGTTACATAAATAGCTTAGATATTTTGAATTAAATTAGGTACGTTTGTTTCTTCTTTCTTCTTGAAAAATAGGCAGTTAAAATAACCGCTTATAACCTTTTTATAGATGATTGAATTGTCACTTATGTCTCAAATTTTTCTAATCCATACTATCCCATTTGTTCTTATAATTATTAAAAAAATTCTGCCAGATTATTCTTCGCTTTTCCTCGATCTTTTTTTTCGAATATCTCAAAGTTCTTATTTGTATAGTTTTTCATCATCATCATCATCATTACAGCCCTTCACAAGTCCATTGCTGAACATAGGCCTGCCTCAAGGAATGCCACAAAGCACGGTTTGAGCCACCTGCATCCATCGACTTCCTGCATATCTCACCAGGTCGTCACTCCATCTAGTGGGGGACGCCCTTCATCCGCCGGTACGAGGCCGCCACTCGAGAATCTTTTTTCCCGATCGGTTGTCGCTTCTTCGAGCTTTATGTCCGGCCCATTGCCACTCAGCTTACTAATCAGTATGGCTATGTCGGTTACTCTGGTTCTACTGCCGATATCCTCATTTCTAAGTTTATCACGCAGAGAAACTCCAAGCATAGCCCTCTCCATAGCTCGCTGAGTGACCTTGAGCTTCCTCATCCGGCCAGCAGTGAACGACCACGTCTCAGTTCCATAAGTAATCACTGGCAACACGCACTGTTTGTACAGTCTCGTTTTTAAGTTTTGAGGTATACCTGACGAGAAGATGTGCCGTAATTTCCCGAACGCTGTCCAACCGAGTTGAATCCGTCAATTGAGCTCTCGGTCTAAGTTGGACTTACCTAGTCGGACTATTTGTCCCAGGTAAACATACTCGTCAACAACTACGAGCTTAGTGCTCCCAACAACTACGGCATAGGTGTGACATGGACGTTAAACATGATCTTTGTTTTGCCTATGTTCATCTTAAGACCTATCCGTTGTGAGTCACTATTGAGGTCATTGAGCATAGTGCTAAGGTTTTCTAGCGATTCTGGGCAAATCGAAGGTGAGTGATGTACTCGCCATTGATGTTAATACCGTATCCTTTCCAGTCGAGAAGCTTGAAAACGTCTTCCAATGCAGCGGTGAAGAGTTTCGGGGATATAACGTCACCCTGTCTTACACCTCTCTGCAATTGGATAGGTTTCATACACTGGTTTTGTACTCGGTTAGCCATCGTAGCCCTACTGTACAAGCACTTCAGCACTTCGATATACCGACAGTCAACTTGGCACCGTTGATGGGACTGCAGCACCGCCCGAATTTCGACGGAATCAAAGGCAAATTGTACTCCACGGACTTCTGTACAATTCGGCGAAGGATATGTATGTGGTCTATGGTGCTAAAGCCTTTTCGGAAACCGGCTAGTTCGGGAGGCTGGAAGTCGTCAATTCTGCGCGCGAAACGATTCGTAATGACTCTCGAAAACAGCACGTAGATGTGGCTCAGAAGGAAAATCGGCCTGTACTTCTTCAAGAGAGCGTTGTCACCTTTCTTAAAGAACAAGACCACCGCACTTCTGCTCCACGCCTCCGGTGTAATGCCACCATGGAGGACGGAATTAAAGAGCTTCTGAAGGACTTCAAGTACCGGTTTTCCACCCGCTTTCAGAAGCTCCGCTGTAATTCCATCCTCGCCTGGGGCCTTGCCGTTTTTAAGGTGCTGGAGAGCCATTCTAATCTCGCTCAGACTGACGTCCGGGATATCATCGGAATAGTGTCGGATAAGACTCGCTCTTGGATCATTACTCACTCATGTGGCTCCAACCATGATGTGTACAGCTGCCCATAGAACCTCTAAATCTCATTCAAAATCTCAGGTGTCCCGGAAACGACGCTGCCACACTCGGTCTTCAGCTTCGACAGTTGGCTCTTTCCGGCAGACAGATCTCTCGCAAAGGCTTTGAAGCCCTGGTTCCGCTCAATCGCTTCTTCAATAAGAGCAGTATTAAAGTTGCGTAAGTCCCGCCGCATACATTTGGAGATCTGTCCGTTCAGTTGCCTGTATGCTGTCAAATCTGCTGAAGACTGCAGCTTCATATCCCATCTAACAGCCATGAGACTAAGAGTGTGATCGGAGAGTTTTTGTGTTCTTCTGCGGCGGGTCTTGCTAAACTTAGCTCCGACCGCATGGACAGTTTTCACGAGCTTGTCATTCATATCGTCCACTGCATTACAATCTTCTAGGCACTGAAAACGGTTTGGTAGCTTGAGCTGAAAGGATTCGGGACTTTGGAGTAGAGCACGAGGGAGACAGAGCGTTGACTTCATTAGATATGTCCTCTCCAACTTAACGTTTAGGTTCAGTGTGCCTCTAACCATTCGGTGATTGCTGCCGGTTTTCACCCTCGCGATCACTGAGACATCACTGAACAGTTGTCGTCTGGTTGTCATAATGAAGTCAATCTCATTTTTTGTCGAACCTTCGGGGCTCGACCAGGTCTACTTTCTCTGGGGCCGCTTCTGGAAGAAAGAGTTCATCATAAAGAGTTCCTCTTTCTCCATGAACTCTGCCAGCTGCTGGCCCCTTTGGTTCCGTTGCCCTATTCCAAATTTCCCTACTTTCAGCTCACCGCTCTCTCTTGTGCCTAGTTTTGCGTTGAAGTCTCCCATTAACACCGTATAGTGGGTTTTGGAGGAATGCATAGCTCTAGAGATATCCTCATACATTTCATCCACCTCCTCATCGGGGTGTGTCGAGGTTGGTGCGTAAACCTGTATGGCCTTCAGCGAATACCGTTTGGTGATTCTGAGTATAAGGTACGCGACCCTCGTTGACACACTGCCAATCTTTACAACGTTGTTAACGAGAAACTTGTGGACAATAAATCCGACACCTCCTTGGGACAGGTGGTCGTGGTCGTCTCGGTGATAGAACAAGTTGCCGGATTCGAGGATTACCGTGTCCTCACCCTCTCTTCGGACCTCGGATAGTCCTATAATAGTCCAGCGCAACTTGTCTATCTCTTCATCCAGCTCCAGGATCTTCTCGTCAGTCCTCAGGGTGCGTGCGTTATAAGTTGCCAGGTCGAGTCGTCGTAGGTGGCAACCGAACCTTCACCGGAGATTCTTAGCACCCCTGCCCCGCCGTTACCTGGTCGCCACCGTAGCCAGGAATAGCGGGGCCGACGGGGACTGGGGGCTGTCTCTTAGTAACTTTATTTATTTTGGGGGGTATATTGCCATAGTTGCCACGCTTGACGAGCGGGTTGGCAACTGTTAAGGATTATGGGGATAATTAAAGATATAATACTTTGAACATAAAACATGCTTTTTATTAACCTCAAAACAACATGGAAGGACTATAACATCATATTGAACCTTCCTTCGTAACAGACACAGTGTTGACAACCGACGCAGTATTGCCATTAAAATACAATATTATATAAATCAATCAACAGCAACTGCAGTTTTTTATTGTGATATTGCTGTTATCAGGAAGATGCTGCTGCCCATCTCCTGACTGTATCCCACTGTCACCTCTTACGACACCCACAGATATTCTTAACCGCCACTACAAAGCTATAGTTTTTCATTGTGACACAAATCACCCGAGTCTGTAACACCGTAATATATCAAATAATAAACTAACAAAAACCAGAAAATAAAATCCATGTTAATAAGTCGTTATAATCAAGGTCGAAACGTATTTTTTTAGTATAACTATCCACAAATATTAAAGTGTGTACATATAGTTACTTTATTTGTTGTT